GAATGAGAAGTTGACATCGTTTTCGGATCTAACATTAATTTTTTAGATAAAAATTCATTTGAATTTTTTCAATAAAAAAATTATTATGGAAATTTAATTTAATTACTAATTCAAATTTTGGATTCCTAAGTGGTTTCCTAAAGTTTGTAATTGTGGGAATTTAATTTAATTCTAAATTCAAATTTTTGGGTTCCTAAGTGGTTTCCTAAAGTTTATAATTGTGGGAATTTAATTTAATTCTATATTCAAATTTTAGATTCCTAAGTGGTTTCTTAAAATTTATACCTCTTCTTTTATTTATTAAACTATTTAAATAGTTTAATATATATATATATATTCAAATAGTTTAATATATATATATTTTAAATAGTTTGATTAATAGATATTAGTTCCAACAGTTACAAACGGAACAGTTTTCAAAAGTTTGAATAAAGTATTCAAATGGCAAACGGTCAAAATTGTTTGACATTGGTGCACCTGTTCATTTGAATCAAATCTATTCAAAACAGTGGTGCACTTGTTCATTTTCATATTGCACCTATTCGGGTCTATTGATTTTGTCTATAAATACTCCATAAATCCAACAGTCTTGGGGGATCCAATTTCCTATCTGAAAACAGTCTGAAATTAATGTCTTGCTGTCCAAACTATTTTTGTTTGCATTATTCTACATTCTAGTTTTAGAATTAAATAAAGAGAGTATTAGAACATAGGTTTGGTTCGCCGAACAAATTTGTTTGAAGTGCTTCTACAAATTTGTGAAGATCATTGTATCCTGGGAGATGGACGCCACTCAACCGTAAGCACCGTAACGGCGTGAATCTGTCTTAAGGACAGAGTGTCACACACTCGACTTGGTCTTTTAATTTTAATTTGGTTCGATAAATAAATTTGGTACGTTATTTATTTATTTTGTTTGAATTATTTCAAGTTATTTTATTTTACACAGAAGATTGTTCCAACATGCTAATCCCACCCTTTGGAGGAATTGGTAGTCCAATTGCACTAATAGTTCTATAACAATTTAACTCAACCAAATATACTTTTACAGTCGTGATAGAGGCCTCGAATTTGGCTCGAATGTCGTGTCTTTTTTTTTTTTTTTTTTTTTTTTTTTTTTTTTTTTTTTAAAGTTTAACATAAAATATTATACATTTCACATCAACTCATCATATAAAATTATATGAAATTAACAAAATTTAATTAATAGTTTAACTGATCAGTCAATTTTATCATTTAACCAGTCCAATTTAATTGACTGATCAGTTAGACTGTTGGTTAAAATTCGTTAATTCCATATAATTTTGTACGATGAGTTAGTACAGGATGTCTAATTTTTTGACACACCGTACACATAACCACCTTTAAAAAAAATTTTTAAAAAAAAAACCAACACAGCCTAACAAATAAAATAAAATAAAATTAAAAAAAAATATGATCAGTCAATTTTATTATCCAATCAGTCAGTCCAACCCAACTCACTTATAAAATGTCTAATTTTTTAGCACACCGCTATACATAATCACCCCTATAAAGCAAAGAGAGAAAAAAAAAATAAATAAATAAATTTCGAGGCAAATTCGAGGCTGAATCATTAATCATACTTTTAATAGGTCCCACAGATTATTAATCAAATTCTCTATTCTAAAAGGCCTAATCTAATTCTCTCTTCTAAAAGGCCAAACAAAAACGGCCGAAGGGAATTAAGGTTCACTGGATAAAAAAGATTACAGCAAACATGGAGGGGCGCACCCTACTTCTTTTGAGTTGGAACCTGCCCCTTTGCAAGTTGCTTGCTATTTTTTTTTTTTTTTCATTGTACACCTGAATTGTAATCCCACCAACCCATGCAGCTTGTTAGAAAAGTTCTTTCTTCGTCTTTAAAATAAAAAAAAATTAAAAACAAAAAACGATGTTCAAAAAAATCATATTTAAAGTTGGAAGGCAAAGGAAGCCTAAGATCTTAACCACTAAGAAGAGAAAAAAAAAAAATACAGTCCAATGAAAACCTAATCAAATCGCTCGATAAAGAACTTTAAAATGGAAAGTAGCAGTCTTGATCTCCCAGAACATCCCAATCTCATCTCCACCATTCAATCGGCATTCTTTCACCAATTCCTTGCACCCCAAAACATAACATTCATGATCAAGACTCCTAGACCCTCTCTCCAAAAACATGTCTTCATTGATATAACTTTTAGGATTAGTCTCATCACTAACATCCCAAACCAGCACACACCTCCTCTTCCCCACCACCACCACCTGCTTCACCGCCTCCAACGGCCAATACCGGAACACGTAATCGAATGTGTCAGCAAACGACAGCGCAATCCTCGCTGTTGTGACCTCGGTTGGTGTGAGGACTTTCTTGATGTGAAAAGGGTTGTGGGGGTTAAAAACTGGTGGTGGGTACACATCTCTGATCTCCACCACCACTCTGGTGGCTCTATGGCGGTGGTTGGTGGTGGTGGTGAGGTTGTGCGCTTCTTCTTCTTCTTCTTCTGCCTTGGTTGGGATGAAGTTGTAGTAAGAGGTTTTTTTCATGGTGAGTAACATTGTTAAAGGACTCAAAGGTTTTCTAGGGTTATTACACACATTGATTGAAATTTTAAGACTAGGGTTTGGGGTTTTATAAGGGTTTTGTTGTGGCTTTTTTTATGGAAAGTGTTTCGGTTCCGGGAAAATCTTTCCTTTCCATAATATGGAAAGTCTTTATAGATGGAATAGGAAATACTTTCTGGAGGTAGGAGTATGCGATTATAGGAATTTTTTTAATTTTTGAATGTTTTTCTGATGCTAATAATATAGGAGATTTAGGGCTGGTTTTACAAGTTTAAAAAAAAAATTAAAAAGTTACTATTCTATTTAGGTCACATCATCTATTTAAGTCACATCACATCTTTAACATATCACTTCAAACTTAATTTAAACCCAATCTATATTTTATAAAAAGTCAAAAAATACACTTATTTAGATCATTCCAAACGACCTCTTAATCAAAACTCTTTCATAATAAAATTTTAATGCATTAAGAATATTTTCTAGGGTTATTACACACATTGATTGAAATTTTAAGACTAGGGTTTGGGGTTTTATAAGGGTTTTGTTGTGGCTTTTTTTATGGAAAGTGTTTCGGTTCCGGGAAAATCTTTCCTTTCCATAATATGGAAAGTCTTTATAGATGGAATAGGAAATACTTTCTGGAGGTAGGAGTATGCGATTATAGGAATTTTTTAATTTTTGAATGTTTTTCTGATGCTAATAATATAGGAGATTTAGGGCTGGTTTTACAAGTTTAAAAAAAAATTAAAAAGATACTATTCTATTTAGGTCACATCATCTATTTAAATCACATCACCTCTCTAATATATCACTTCAAACTTAATTTAAACCCAATCTATATTTTATAAAAAGTCAAAAAATACACTTATTTAGATCATTCCAAACAACCTCTTAATCAAAACTCTTTCATAATAAAATTTTAATGCATTAAAAATATATATATATATATATATATTTTAAAAAGTCCAACACATAAAAATATTATCAAAATATAGTTAGTGAGTAATTTAATATAATATGAGTAATGTTAAGGATATCAAATTTTTTACTAAATAAATGACTAAATGTCTTACGTGGGCGTGGGGTCTACAATTTTGAGAACTCTATAACTATGTGAGACATTTGATCATTTATTTAATAGAAAATTAAAACTTATAATATTTTTTATTTAATATTTTAAAAAATATAACTTCTAATGTGATTTTTTAATAAAAGATTCAATCTATAAATCCAATTTTAAACTACTTTGTCCATCAGGACAATCTCCTCTAAAATGACTAAAGTATTCTTGCATATATATATACTAGTGTATGTCCGTGCCTAAAGGCACGGTGTAAATAATATTGAGATTAAAATGTAGTTGTAATTTGTACGTATCATATTAAAATTTGTAGAGTCTGTAGCACCTGATAAAAGTTCAAGTCAGCACTCCTACCATTAGTTTGTGGCTAACACCTAATACATTGGTGAGTGTCATAGTACCCCAAACCACAAATATCTGATTGAAATCTATATAATACACAGAACATAAATACCATAACCTCGCAAATAGTAGTCTTTAGAAATTGTTTTCACATTAAGATACGGAAATCAAATATTTTGAAATAATTTTCCAATCAAGATACGGAAAGCATTGAAAAACTAAATGCATCATATCATGAAGAAGAAATCAACTCTATGCCATAGCATCCCAACAATAAATGGTAAAAAAAAATAATTCCTGCAACTCATATGGTTTGTCAAATTAATGTGAAAATCATCAATTACATCAACTATAGAATACAAATTGTTGCTTTACAAAATAGTCAAATTAAAAAGATTTTAAAGTCATCTAATAGCCATCAAGTATTGCTAGTATCAATACTTGAAAGAAAATGTATAGTAAGAAGAGTAAATTAAATAAGAAAAATTATAAATAGGTGATAACTTCACAAAATATTTAAAAACTCATTGATTTGTAATTTTGTCAATGAAAAAAGAAGATGAGTAAAGAGAGCCCATATAACAGTTTGGTGCAAATCTCCATCATCCTATGACAATAAAAGAGAACATAATTTTATACAAAAAGGAAAAAAAAAAAAAGTGTATACAAAGTAGTGACAACTGACATGTCCAAAGTGGTGACAACTTACATGTCCAAAGTAATAAATCAACTTACATGTCCAAAATAATAACTCAATTGTAAAAGATCAAGTCAGCACTCTTAAATCAAACTTAGCTATTATGGAAATGCAAAAATTAGGGGAATAAAAGGCTTCACAAAAATATTTGAAATACAACAAAGTCCACATAGGTGGAAAGCTTTACAAAAAGTGGGTCATAGCTATCGTCTGCTTTACAAAATGTATATACTTTACAAAAATATGTGTTTGATAATGTCTTCAAATTTGTTCTTTCCCACAATTCTTACGAACGTCTCATCAATTTCTGAAAGGTCTTCATAACAAAACTTCAGGATAAACAATATTTGTAGTGGAATCTGGCTCATCATTAGGGAGGAGGATACTTATACGATCGAAAGATGTGCATCTGGATAATGCCACGTATAGTTGCCCATGACTAAAAACAGGTGTACGCAAATCAACCCCAACAAATTTCACAGATTGTCCTTGAGATTTGTTAATGGTCAAAGCGTAAGCCAATCGAATTGGAAATTGACGTCTTGTCATTCGGAAAGGCATTTCTGCAGAAGACGGAGTCAATGATATCCTTGGTATAAATGCCAAATTGCCAAACTTCTCTCCAGTTAGGATTCGAGCTTCAATTATGCGAGTGTCGCACCTTGATACCATCAATCTTGTGCCATTACACAGTCCATCTTTCGGTGCAATGTTTTTTAATAACATTATAGGACAACCCACTTTCAACTCTACCTTAAAAGTTGGTAGCCCAGGAGGATCCAATGAATTTAAAAACTCATTAGGATATCTGTTTGTAATGGAAGGATCAATTTCATCATCTTCAGCCATCTTATCTGCAGCAAGATACGTATACGTATTCCCTGGAAAAATATTCAACGCAGCAATATTGATAGCACTGACATCATCATTTCGTGCAGAAAGAATTGTACGTTCCATTAAAAATGATGGGGTTGATGTATCTGCCACATCCAATTGTGGATAAACTGCTGAGAGTAATTCCTTTAGATTCTGGCATCTGTGTATTGTTGATGGAATTTTAATGATTTCTTGCAAATTGATTCCAACCTAATAAATAAAATAAAATAAATTTAAAAAAATGGTGTAATCAAAGTATCCTTAGATGGTATAATCAAAGTTCGAATGAGTATTACCTCCGTCAAGAATTTTGCAAAAATAGCATTTCCAAGGTTTGCATGATTCAAGCGCATATTCAAATCTAAAGATAAAACATGTAGATCCTTCCACAAAACAGAGTGTCTCAATGATGCATTCACAATTTGCTCACGAACTCCTTTGGTTATAACTGGTAAGATTTGTCGAAAGTCTCCACCAAGAACAACAGTGATACCCCCAAATGGCTTTTCACAATCACAAATATCTCGAAGTGTGCGATCAACTGCCTCAACACAATGTCTATGTTGCATAGGAACTTCATCCCAAATTATGAGTTTTGTTTCTCTAAACAATTCAGCCTGTAATGATTGCTTGCTAAACCCACAAACTGAATTTTCCAAGACATCCAATGGAATGGAAAATGTTGAATGTGCAGTGCGACCTCCTACTAATAGCAATGATGCAATTCCAGATGAAGCCACGGCAACAACAATATGGCCAAGGCTGCGACATTTTAATGCAATCGTATTGTACAAAAATGTTTTCCCCGTTCCAGCACCGCCATTCAAAAAGAAAATAGTCCCTTTACTTTCAAAGACTGAAGAAGTGATTGCGTTATAAGCAGTTCGTTGTCCATTATTGAGGCGATCAATAGTAATTTGCACATTTGTCTGTTGTGCCTCATTATGTAGTTGTTGATGTTCGAATATCAATCGGTTACCAACTGTTGCACTCCAATTTGCTGTAGGTTGTGGCATGGGCGGGAAGTCAATTAAACTCTTTCCTGATTCTTGAAGCATTTGATTCAAAAGATACAAACCATAATCTTCAATTTGAGCCTCAGTTGGTTTAGAAATGGCAAACAATGTACGAAGCTTATGTGCAAGATCATCACAGATATGCATTGAAAATTGATTCCATAACGCATGTGGTTGTAGTGGAAAACATTGAGTTAGAATAATACAAAACAATCTCCTCAATTGATATCCGGTTTTCATAACTGCAGCCTCTTTCAGGCACTGTATCCATTCTTCATCATCTTTTAAGAGTCCTCTAGCAACACATGCTGATTTAAACGTCTCATGCAAAACATTGTTAACTGTACGTAACATTGAAACGATCTTGGCCCTTTGACAACAGTTAACAACAAACGTAAATAAAATCTTTCACCACAGTTAGGGCTAGCAAAGTACATTCTACCAATTGCATATCTATGTTCTCTTGGTTTCCATCTATGTTCTGACTTGAGCCAAACAAAATGTTGCGGAAATTCTTGGTAAGTGAATTGGCATTCATTTTCATTGGAAGCACAGTAATCAAAAAAGCCAGTAAGAGTCGATTTTTGTTGTGCAGCTCTAGAAAGAATCATTTCCAATGAGTCATTAGGATTGAAAAGAACACGATGCATTCCAGGTAGATGAAGTGCCAAGCGAACAACTGTTGGCATCTCTGCATGCAAATGATGACCGAATATTCGCCAAGCAGCTTCTGGTGGTCCAATATACCTCGCATCAAGATATTGTTGGATCTCATTAATCAATCCCAAAACCATTGTTGTGCGATCATAACCCTTGTAAATATACTTATGTATATACTTAACACATCTCACTCCAGAACAAACTTCTACATTTATATGACAGTTGAACCGTTTAGAAAGATATGCATTGTATGGTACCACATCCCTGTTATCAACTTCCTGTCCTCTCACAGTATATACTTGACCACTATTACGACGACGATAGATTGGATATCCATCTTGGTCCATAGTTGTTGATTCTGCAAAGGCTCGAGGGTATCTCTTAGTACATCTACCATTTTCCATACATGGTGCTTGGGGATTTCGAGCACCACATGGTCCATGTACCATGCAACACTTGACAGTTTCAAAAAGTGTAGGATCATCTTTTGGATCTGGAAATTCTGCACAAACTAATTTGTCTACTTGAGCACATGTTCGAATTTTGTCTGGACCTTTAAGAAAGAGAAGTGCATGCATATGTGGTAGGCCTCGTTTTTGGAATTCAATTGTAAAAACATGCGCAACTTTATTACCGAACACTTTGTTTGTCTCTATCTCCTTCATCAAACACTTTCTTTTTAGCTCAAAAACACGGGCAATCAAATCCGGACGATCAATAGGCTTTTGGTGTGGTAATAATGCCGAAGTAATTTCTGGCCAATTGGGATTTGCAGTCATGGTGAGAAAAATATCTGGGTGCTGGTTGTATCGCGTGATAGCCATTGAATCTTGAAAGATTTCAAACATATGTCTAGGACTACCAGTAAATGAAGATGGCAAAATAAACCTTTGACCAATTTGATTAGGTCGCAAGTCATCTGGACCGATATCGCTTAAATCTTGGTAAAGTTCAGCCCGAATTTTTTTTTGATTAAGCTTGTAGTACATCAACCGATTTTGCTCAGTTGCAGCCCAAGCATCTACCAAAAACTCTTGGAATAGTTTTCCACCTCTCAAAATTGTTGAATACTCTGTAGATCGCTCAAACAAACGGTAACTATAAAAATCCATTTGAGTAAGTCGATCAGTTGAAGGCCGATCATGTTTAACGTCCCACAATTTCAACTCAGGTTCCCATCCGAGCTCACCATACGGGAATAATAAAACATAATGCAATGGCAAATACACTGGATGACATTCATTAATTTGCATCAGTTCATTATTTCCCTGTAGATGTAAAACAACATCTCTCATTCCAGTAACCTCGGTTCCATCACCTGGTATTACAATTGCAATCTCATCAGCAGTTGGTAGGTTATACCGTCGTCGGTCTGTTGCTGAACTATAGTGAAGATGAGCAGGTAGATTTTGTCCAGTGAAGGCTAATTGATTCAAAATTACATGAGCCTGGCAAAATTTGTCTACAAATGCATTAACTTGGAACAAACTATCTTGAATAGTTTTGAGAACATCCCTTTGTAAGTGAGGATTTCTACGATTTCGAACTTCTAAAGCTGAATCAGGATCATAAATGTACAACTGAGCATAAGTCGCATCCTGACCTGGCTGTGGTAGAAGTGATCCTGTTCGATGTCGCAATTCCCCATGGATAATAAATGGTTTAGGGCCGCTTCCCCTTAGTACTCTTGGATCCAATGTAGCACCAAGACTTGTAAAAGCATTGGCTGCATTGTATACTCGAGTATAACGTCGAAACGATCTTGCTTGATCATCATCCCCATCATATAATGCTTGAAGCGGTGGAGGGGGTGTCATAAGCAAAGGTAGCCTAGTCTTTCCTTTTGAACAGCAAGTTCCAAATAGGGGACGCTTTCGAGATGATTGTGCTAATTTTTCGTCCATCCAATGTAAGGCTGAACAGTAAAGACATAACATATCCATCTTACCGAGAGAATGTCGACATGAATTCATGTGTGATTGAGTGTTAATCGCAGTACTTATAAGTCCATATCTTCTAATTCATCATCGTGTAAATAGATCCTCTTGAAGAAATGTGGCTGTAGAATTAGGCCTACAAATATTTGTTGTGCATAAATTAAAATTTATACACATGAAAAAGTAAGAGTGTTATTTAAAGAATTAAACATGTTTTACGCATTCCGAGCTAAAGATGTACTTTCCATAGAGAACGAACATGTGGATGCATGTGTAAACCATTGTTCGTTTTTGTGCAACAAAGTATCCGCCAAGTGTCTTTGTAACCCTGTTCTAGGCAAGCATGACTGCGACGACTCGGTGTTAATGAAGGAAAGTCTTTAACATATGCTCCTAATCTCTCTCGTTCTTGTGCAAAGCGGTGTCTTGATTGATATGCAGAGCATGCATTTTCATTTCTTTCACGTTCTCGTCGTGCACGTTGAGCCAATACAGCTCTTGATTAACATAACCATTGGGGTCCCTAAAATATGAACTATTAAATTCGTTGAATGCTAAAATGCAAATATTATCAAGTTACCATTTTCCCACTGTCCAAAGAAAATACCAAGAATTTAGAGAAAATGTATATAATTCTTGCCATGACTACCCATAGTTTTATAATAATAATAATAATAATAATAATAAATTGTGTGGTTTTGTAACAGTAATGAACAAATGTTCCGATCAGCAGATGAGCTTCATCAAAGTATCCCCATTTTCCTTGTGGCCCTTGCACTACAGGAGACACTAATATATTCCTTTCTCACTATATATTCCTTCATAAAGTATCCTCTATATATTTCTTTCTTCCTAAGAATATACAGGAGACACCAAAAAATGTGTATATGTTTCAAAAATAAAATACAATTATGGCTAAATAAAATACAATATAGAAGATATAAAAATAAAAACTAAAAAAAACTGACCAAAATCATAACAACCATACCGCTAAACATGCATTTTCCTTTCGCTTGCCCTTGCAATCAGTGGCCCTTAATTTAAGCGGATTGTGTTCAGATTTAGTGGACAGAAAGTCAAACTATGTGTCAATTTGGTTCCTGTAGTTTACACAATGTGCTAATTTAGTTCCTATCAAAACCGAGCAAATTAAAATAACAGGGACTAAATTGACACATTGTGTAAACTACATGGACCAAACTTACATATTGTGTAGACTTTCCGTCTACCAAACTTGACAACCGTTATTTATTGGACTAAAATGACACAATCTGTTAAATTAAGGGACAAAATCGAGCAAATTGAAACAAATAAATTGACACATCGTGTAAAGTATAGGGACCCTTTGCATAATTTACCCAATAAATTTATTATTGTTATTTTTTTGAAATTTGAATAGCACTTCTCTATATTTATAGATGTAAAATAAGTTGTCAAAATGATATCTCTCACAAAGGAAGCACTATAAATGGTGTGTGACGTATGCACATTATAACTAAAGAAAATATAGCATAATTTCATACTTTTTGAGTTATAACTATACATAAAACTAAAAAAACATCAAAATCAAACAACATGCGAGGCATAACTAAAATAAGGTCATTACTAAAGAAGAAAATTGGTCATAACTAAAAAAAAAATGACATAACTCAAAATTGTCATTTATAATCTATATAATAAATTGTATGGTTTTGTTATACAAACAAACAAATGTTCAGACAACTTATGAACTTCATAAAGTATCCCCATTCACATAGCTGGAAAAAAAAAAAAATTTTGCCCATTTTCTCTCTCCTCTCTTTATCTCTTATCTCAAAATTTTCGCCCACTTACATTGAAAAGTGGTGCAGATTTACACATATATACAGGAGACACTTAAAAAAGTGCACAGTTTAAAAGATAAAAATACAATTATGGTTTAAAATAAATAATTAGACATGCATTTTCAAAAACACTCTACAATTATGGCTTAAAATACAAACATAGGAAAACTAACAATTTAAGAAAAAAAAAAAAAAAACACTTTACAAAAACCATTAAGAACTATACCGCTGGACATGCATTTTCCTTTCCCTTGCCCTTGGAAGCATAAGACACCTTTTCTTTTCCTTTCAACATTGCATTTGCATTTTCCTTTTCCATTGCCTTTAAAAAATAACCAAAGTCTAAGAAATAACCAAAGTATAAGAAATAAAAATAAATAAATAAAAAATGATAAGAAAGTGATTTTTGGGCTGACATTAGAAATACGAACGACATTGAAATCATGCTCATCACGAATCACTACACCGACATTTCTTTGTTGAAGAAACTGAACCTATACATACAAAAACAAATAAGTAGCTATACATACAAAAACAAATAAGTAGCTGATATGTACACAAAATGAAATTTTATAAGACGATAAGCAAAGGGAACGAATATTACAGTTCGTTGTAAGTCTCCATCTTGCTGTAAAAAATGAGGAAAGTTTTTTAATCAGTTTATAATCAGAACATATAATACAAAAGTTTATAAAAAAATCAGTTTATAATACAAAAGTTTATAAAAAAATGAGGAAAGCTTTTTAATCAGAACCTATAAGACGATGAGTAAAGGGAACGAATATTACAGTTTATAATCAGAACCTATAATACAAAAGTTTTTTTAAAATCTATGTGCCAGCTTTTTTAAAAAAGACAACTTACATTATCCATAATGTTAGAGGTCGTTCCAGCTTAATATTGCCAAAACCTGTAATACAAAAGTTGACTTCAGTAAATACATATTAATCCAGTAATACATAATACAAAAGTTAACCTATAAAGGTTTTGGAATACATAACTTACGTAAATACAAAAGTTATTTTAATTCACCAAGTGAAACCAAATGAAGCAATCAATCGATACCTAAATGGAATCAAACCTATCGATGGCTTAAGCTTTGTTGAATTTAATTGAACTAAAAGAGGTTTAAATGAAACTGCAAAATTTATAAAGTTAATTCATATGACAAACTAATAAAAAATCATCAATCATTTTGAAATCCACAGTTAATTCATATGATAAAATATCTCATTCAAGGAATTAATAAAAAATCACACTGGAAAAAAAAAATCACACATATGACAAACTAATAACCCAACAATCATTTTCCGCCACCAAAAGGAGTTGTGTTTCCAAGAATGTATTTATTGAAATTAACAAATAACAAAAGATTTGCAATAAATCCACAGTTTGAAAATAATAATTTAACTCCAAACATTTTCAGGTATTGGTAACACAATCTGAATCCAAACAACATCAAAGAAAATAGTAATGAATCTTACTATTTTTCTTACAAATTAATAAATATTAAAATTGTCCAACATGCCACATCATCCTAACTTGGCAAAGGGTGCAAATGAGTAGAAACATGTGTAGTAGTAAAGTCAACAAATATGTATTGTTGCACCTGAAGTGGACAAACTCAATCTCACAATTTCCATGGCTATGAAATTATCCTCTGTAATTTAATAAAGTCAAACTCAACCACCCCAATCTCACAATTTCAGAAGCCATGAAATTATCCTCTATTTTTTTCAATAATCAAACACCCAGAAAATCCAAAAACCAACAAAGTAAGGACCAAAAAAAGTCAAAAAAATCGGCATATTTGACTATCAAAGCCTATTGAAAGTTTCTTCAATGGCTCCTACATTATTGTTAGGAATCAAACATATTGATGGCTTAAGCTCTACTGAATTGTATTGAGCTCATTCAAGAAATTAATAAAAAATCACTTAGATAAACAATTTATCAAAAATCACATAGATAAAATCACATAGAAACTAATACCCTACAAATCATTTTCCGCCACCAAAATGAGTTAAAAAATTTAAACAATTTATCAAAATGAGTTGTGTTTCCAACGGAAACTATCAATAAAACACATCAATCACTTAGTACTTTGCTTCCAAGAATCTATTTATTAAAATTAACAATAACAAAAGCTTTGCACATCTACATAGTTTTAAAATAATAATTTCACTCCAAACATTAAATAAATAAAAAATAAATCAGTCTGTATGAGGACATTTTCAGGGATTGGTAACACAATTTGACTCCAAACAACAGCAAAAGAAAATATTAATGAATGTTACCATTTTTCTTAGCAAAAGGTGCAAATGAGTAGACATATATGTATTAGCAAAGGATGAAAATATAAACTTCTGCAAAAGAAAACAAAGTGAACCACTAAAGTCAACCGCTAAAGTCAAAAAGCCAACAAATAATTTCATAAAAAATAATTCATCCACCAGGTGGTCAACCACTAAAATGTCTCCAAGATATACCTAAGCTAACTTTTTTTTCACAAAAGATAGATATGATAAAGGAAGATTTCACTGTACATAAGAAAATAACCTTAAAAGATATAAGAATTGACTTTCCAAGATTGTTTCATTTCTGTGAGAAAATACAAAAAAGAAGCGGAAAAGATAAAAAATAAATTGGTTTACTTAATTTTTTTTTTCTTCCATAACCTTAATTTATTTTGTGCTTCCTCAATTTAAGAAAAGTTATGATACACTGCTTTAGGCATTGAAACCATATAAATCCCCAAACATAGGAAAACGTCTTAACCATGAACAACAATAAATAAAGCCAATCCCAAAAGATATGTTATATTTACCATAAGTCTTAATGGCACTTCCAAACACAATCAGACTCAAATCAAAATTGGGTGAATTCCTATAACGAAGCTAATTAATTTTAGAACTTGAGATCCAACTGATGCTATCTAAGACCTGGAACACATCTTACAGAAAAGGTATAAACTGGAACACATCTAAGACATGAAACCAATACAGTGTATACAAACCAAACTGTTTTAAAAATAAAAAATAAAAATGTAGTGATACTGTACGATTTCCTGAGCTGATAAATAAAATAAAATAAAAGATTCCCTAGGTTTATTACCAAATAGGATAGAATATTTTCCAAATCCTTAGAAACACAAACACATATGGAGGCCATTATCGGCCAAAAACAACCTTTTATTGGCAAAAAACTGTCCGATTTATTGATTAATCCCCAAAAACTGTTTGACAAAAAAATTTCAGATTTATTAAAGCTTGAACAGTATATAATAGTATGAATTTAAAATTTCAGATTTAAGAAATCAAACAGTACGATACCATAGTATGAATTTAAAAAATTAACTCATGAATTCTATAAGGGCTTTTTCATTGAAATAGAAAAATACAAAATGTGGTTTAGATTTCCATACTTACCACAAACTAATAAAATTAATAAAATTTAACTCTTAGTAAAATTAATAAAATTCAAACTAATAATAGATTAATTTAAGTCCAAATAGATTAATTTTACAAACTAATAAAATTCAAATGTTATCGAATGTTACAAACTAATAAATTCGAATGTTATCAAAATGCTATACAAACTAATAAACATGTGTTTTATGCAATAAATAAAACTCAAACTAAGGCCTTGTTTGATTAACAGGTTAATAACTGCTAATCAAACATGCCCTAAGTGTCATTCAAGGAGAAAAGAAAAAAAAAACAAAGAATATTTAACTCCTATCTATATTGGTTAAAAGTAAAAAACTAATACAAAAAATAAACCCATTCAATACAAAAAGATATGCCCTAAGAGGCAGAGGAAGGTATGTTTATTTTCTTCTTCCAATTTTTCATTTTTTTTTATTAAGAAAAAAAAAAGCCCTTTGTTTGGTTGCCTAGAAAGCAGAAACCCACTTCAGTTTGTTAATTAATTGGCACAGGTTTTGTTAGACATGACTTTCTTAGACATGGCTTCTCAATATTAGGGGGTTTGGGGTTTGGAATCATACATAAATAGGGGGTTTGGGGTTTGGAATTATATATATAGATATAAGTGATTCTGTTATGAGGTGTAAGTAAAAAATTATAGGAATGCAAGTCCGTAATCATATATAACCAAATGTCATGTGGACTAATATGAAACCAATTAAGGCCATAAAAGTTTTGGCCAATAATCATATATAACCAATTAAGGCCAATAATCATATATAACCAATTAAGGCCATATATATTTTGGCCAATATGGAACTAATTAAGGCCAATAATCATATATAACCAATATTGGCCATAAAAGTTTTACTAATATGGAACCAATATTGGCCATAAAAGTTTTGGCCAATAATCATATATAACCAATATTGGCCATAAAAGTTTTGGCCAATATGGAACCAATTAAGGCCAATAATCATATATAACCAATTTTCATGTTTTGGCCCCAAAACATAAAACTGATACACTAATATGGAACCAATTAAGGCCATAAAAGTTGCCCACAACAGAAGTTATTAAATGGGAAGACTTGCAACTTATTATGATATATACCACATATAATTGTTTCACATATTTGATAATACATTCCGATATGTATTAAAACTTCATAAAATGGATGCTTAAATCTATTCATTAACATGCTCAGATTTAGTGCACATTCATACACATTTATCAAAAGAAACTCCACAAAAAAAATGTCAATTCTGTTTATTACTATCAACGGTGGCGGCAATGACTTCCATTTTCTCAAATAACCTATACCCCACAATAAATAAAAAAAATACATATTGGAACGTGGCAAAGCAGCTTTAAAGATTAAAATGCCATGGCAAAGCAACTCTAATGGTATGCTTCCCCTTCATGCGAAAGCCAAAATTTGGCAACAACACTTCCAATTCATGTGCTATTTTTTGGTGCCAAATTATAACAATGCCAAAATTTGGCAAGAGCTCATCTCTCTATTCTCTAATGATAGAATCCTATTTGTCAACAATTGTGACCATTAGTACTAAACAAATTTTTTTTTTTTTTAATATACAAATTTAAAAGGACAAATGAAAGAAACACTGAAGTTGAATTTTTTAAACAACAGAGTCCAGCAAGAAAAGACATAGTTGAATCAAAGAAAAAGAAAACAATAATTAAACACACACGCTCATTGTGAAATGAGTTTTTGGTTATGTCATTAATTTATATTACTACATAAATAATACTACATAATGTGCTTAGAGTATCCAATAATTAAATTATTTTAGGAAAATTCTTGAAATACTTATGTGCTTAATAATTAAATTAAATTAAATTATCCAATAATGTGCTTAGTAATTTAATTAATTAAATTATCCAATAATTAAACTTTACCAAATACTTTAGGAAAATTCTACTATACACATCACTCTTGTGGTATGTACATCTTTTCAATCCAGTGAGCCAAACAGTGTCTCATTCCTACCCTAAAGCCCATCCCCTACTCTTGTGGTATGTTTTCAATTTTTTGAGTTTATAAAAACACATGTGTCATTTAATCATTGGTTTTTGTTATAATATAATATTTATGATAATTTTTCTAGCAGTTAAACCTTTGCAATTTAATTTATAAACTAATGTTATAAATATAAATTTTATACCATAACCATAACCATTGAAATTAAAAATAGTAATAATATCATTACATGATTTGAAATCAAAAAATTTAAGTAAATAATACTAATATATTATTGGTCATGACTAAGAGGTTTTAAAACCTGTACCAATCAGGATCAAGATTTTGTCTAATGAAATCAGGATCAAGATATATAGACAAATCAGTAAATAATATGAATATATATAGACAAATCTCAAGTCAGGAGTTGTATGCCAGAGTCATACTCATACATACAAATGGAACATTTTCTTTTATCCTCTCCTAAGAAAAGCAAGTTTCAAGTTGTTAGACAGACTTGATACATCAATCACTGTTAAAACTATATTAATTGTCAACCTAACAACATTCAACTATTTTCGGTGAAAAAAAAATGTTTTTAACAAAAAAATAGAAAAAAATGAAAAAACAGAAAAGAAAGGAAAGAAAGAAGAGAAAAGAAAATAGTAGCAAAAAACAAAAAACACAATTATTCAGTAATCAATCCAAATACCCAAATAGTTGAGAAAAACATAAATGTCCCAGGTGTTCAAGTTGTTTGTAAACATAAAGATACATCCCTAATAGTTGAGAAAAAACATACTCTAAAACATGCTATCATAGATTTTCAGTACACAACAATACATAATCCTTTTAATCATTACTGCATGGTGTTAGATCAAGATTTTTGCAATTTTAAGGAGATTAACAGTTAACCAAGTTTTTCTAATGAAATCAGGATCAAGATTTTGGAAGAAAGCCACTTAGTTTTGACATCAACCCTTGATAGTTTTAATTTCAACTTATAATTCATCGAAAGAGTCTTTTAATTCATCAAAATACCAACACACACAAAAAAAATGCGAGATTCAAACATATTCTAATAGACATCACAAATACGACATGGTTTTCAAAATATGCAAGTAGCAATCAACATGTCCAGAAGGAAGTGAGAAAAAGTCCAATCTTTAACAACGCAGAATTAAAAAATCAAATTATTATGAAACCATTCCATTTTCTTTCATATCATTAACATGCGAACATGTTGTTCCAACCCACTCTTTTTTTATTAAATAAAAGCACTCTAAGGCGACCAAAATTTGGGCATTTTGAAATGAAATTACTGTTAAATTTTATTGGGTCATTCTATCAAACACTTGCAATACATGACTTATTTGGTCATTTTATAAGATGAAAAAGATGAACAAAAAATAAGATGAACAAATTAAGGGTTTAAAAACTGTCTAACCTAGAACAGAAATTTAAAAAAACAAAGCAAACCTTCCCTACCAAAACAAAAAACTGTCTAGTTGTAGAGCTCTTGATCTAACACCTATCCAAAAACTGTGACTCTGGTTTTTGGATGATACACTCTGGTTTTTGAACAAATTAAGGGTTTAACACCTATACAATCTGTGAACCCTCCTCCAAAAACCAGAGCTCTTGATTAATAAATTTATAAATGATTAAACAACAAATAAAATTCTTTACCTCCGTGGATTTGGAGGAGGGTTCACAGATCTGACTCTGGTTTTTGGATGATTGAGAGAAATTCTTTACCTCTGTGCCAGAGCCACGCTAGTTGTAGAGCTCGGATGGAGGAAGAGATTGAGATGGGGCGGTTCAAAGGGATTGAGATGGGTTTATTGTGGCTTTTCAGAGGGATGGAGGAAGAGAGAAGATGAAGAGAGTGATGTAGAGAGAGAGATTCTGAGCGTGTGTTTTCAAAATTTGAAAGGGGAGAAAGAGTGTGTGTGTGTGAGACAGAGAGAGAGGGGATCTGTATTGACAAAGAGATCTGTATTGTGTGTGTTCAAAACGTTGTAAGCCATTGGATTGAATTCAATCCAATGGTCCATGTATTGACAAAGGGACAAAAGTCTCATCAGGAAAAAAAAACTGAGCTTCCTTATTATATAGATATATATACGCCAAAAGGTTAGCAAAAATAAAATCAAACCTCACTCTTCTCTCTTTCTCTTCATCTCCAACACCACCACCGTCCCAACCCCATTGTCTCTAACACCACCACCGTTCCAACACCATTGTCTCTAACACCACCGCCGACGATCTCTCCTCTCATCTCATCTCTCTTCATTTCCGACACCACCACCATCGGCTTCTCTGCCCGCCTCATCGCCTCCTAAGGCGCCGACCTCCGCCGTGTCCCCGACATCGTCTTCGTTCTCACTGACCATCTCCACCACATCCACCTCACTCACACCCATCGCTTTCTCGGCCTCATTGATTCCTGCATCCTCTGGCCTAACTTCGATTACGCCGACGACGTCATCATTGGAGTCCTCAACACCGGAATATGGCCGGAGCTTACCGGATCCGGCCTCTGTTTGAGGTCTCTCTCTCCCTCTCTTCCTCGAAATCCAGATTCTCCACCACTGTCGAAATCGCCTCAGATCTGTGTGGCCGCCGAGTGTGAGGGCGTTCCGAACGAAGCAAGCGACTCTTCCGCCATCTACACAAATCTCAGATCTCAGATTTGTGGTTATCTTTGTGTGTGTGTGTGTGTGTTTATCTATTCAGATCATTTTTTGTTATTTTCTATTAACTTTTGGATTTCTTTGCCTTGTTTGGATATGATTTCTGTGTTTGTGTTTATCACGGTCGAAGGAATTGATTATGGAGCAACAAGTGAAGTAAAGAAAATAGATGTTGCTCGCATTTGTGAGAGACTTGTTAAGCTTTATATACTGATCTTAAGCAATCTTGGCTAAACCTTTTGTTATATCTAGGCCTGATGTTGATTGCTTACTTATAACCTTACTCAGATCTAATATGTGAGGTTTAGGTAGTATTATAGCATTCTTTCTGTTCACTTTTGAAAGATTTTTCAGAGGGGAGAGAGAGTTCACAGGGGATCTGGTGTGTTTTATTTTTTTTAATTTTTGTGTGTGGTTATCTGTCCGGATTTGTTCAGATCTAGTTTCAATTTTGAGATCTCAAATAGGTTGAGATAAACAAATTTTTTTTAATTTTTGTGTGTGGTTATCTGTCCGGATTTGTTCAGATCTAGTTTCAATTTTGAGATCTCAAATAGGTTGAGATAAACAAATTTTGTTCAATTTTTGAAACAAATAGAGAGAGAGAACCAGATAGAAAAAAAATTCTATTTATTCTTTGTTGTTGTTTTTCTTCTTGTTATTTTTGATGAAAAAATTTCTGTGCGCGTGCTCAACCTAAATGAACATTTAGAAAATAATTTGAACAGATAAAAAAAATTAACAAAATTAACAGATAAAATTTTTTGAACAGATAAATTTCAGCAAATAGATTTTATTTTGACAGATATTTGAATAGATAAGGGAAATTTGAATTGAAAAGATCAAAAAATTAAACAGATAGGGTAAATAATTTAAACAGTTAGAAAAAAATTTGAACAAATAGTTAACGAAAAAACACATAAAAAAAATGTCAATAGATAAATTAAGGGGTAAATTAGAAACAAAATATCTTTCAGAATAAATAAGATGACTTCTCACCAAATTATTTTATAAAAAATGGATTTTTCACCAACAAAAATATTCAGTAGACCTAATGACTTATACCTTCTTTAGTTTGGACTTTTCAACAATTTATCCTTAATAAAATTAGTATTTTTAGAATTCTTCCATCAAAATCTATCAAATAAGATCTATGTTGACCATAAAATTCTTAAAAAATAAAAAATAAAAAATACCGTCGAAATTGACTTAAATAGTAACATGTTATTTTGTCTCACAGTCGTATGTTATTCTGATTCATAATAACATTTTACTGTTACAAAAAAAAGAGTATGTACTAGATGAATTAACCAAAACATACATACATAATATTCAACCGTACTATGTTGCTCGAAACTGAGCCGTCCCTAATCCCCCGAACCAAAAACGACGTCGTTTTGTCATTTTTGAATTTTTTTTTTTTTTTTTGCAGAAGAAGAGATGAAGCAGACGAAGAAAGAAGAAGGGAAGAAAGAAAGGAGGGAAGAAGAAGCAGAGGCAGACGACGGCGGGGGCGGAGGCAGACGGCGGACAAGCTGCGACGATCGGTGATCTGCAACAATAGGCCGAGCTGCGACGATTGGCGGAGCTGCGACGATCGGACGATCGGCCGGAATGCAGGGGTCTCTCTGTGTGTGTGTCTCCATTCTCTCTTCTCTCCCTTTCTTTCCCTCTTTCCTCTCCGTTATCCCTCTCTCTCTCCCTGTCCCTCTCCCTCTTCCCCTTGCGTTTTGAGCTCGAAAATGGTCAAAAATGGAAGAAAAAAAAGAAAAAAAAAAGCCTAATGCCCAAAACGACGTCGTTTTGGGCATTAGGCTTTTTTTTTCTTTTTTTTCTTCCATTTTTGACCATTTTCGAGCTCAAAACGCAAGGGGAAGAGGGAGAGGGACAGGGAGAGAGATCATTTATGAGTTTATATCTCACCTACACTCACATATTACTCTCACCCTTTCATTCTCTCTTCTCCTCCCTGCAGACACCTCCTCTGCCACCGTGATTGTCATAACCACCGAGCCTTATCTTCGCTCCAGATTTGATTCCAACACTAGCAAAGGTCACATACAGACAAAGATTATGAATTGCAATACCAGTATCGAACTGACGAGATCTTTGAGGCTTCTGGTTCTCGTTTCTTCGAGGCTTCGATCACCTACTATGATACTCCTCATACAGTCACAATTTCTCGCCCGTTGCAGTTCAAGCGCCATGTGTTTTTTCCCAACTAAACTGCTCTATGATTGATGCAAAGCGGTTTGGTATTGGTATTGTGATTCATAACATCTGTCTATGAAATTAAGCTATTTTATTTTTCTGTATTTTTGTTTACATATAGTGTAGCTTTGGTAATTAAATTCTCCGTTTTTGATTTTTGAGTAGCTTAATTTTCTATAATTTGTTCAAAATACTGAGAAAATTGTGAGTAAATTAGAAAAAATTGGTCAAAACATAGAGAAATTTATGAGCAAATCAGAGAAATTTCAAACTATAGAAATTTTAAAGCACAGAGAATTTTGTCTGAAATTTTTCTAGATCAAAATTTCTCTAAATCTGAATTTCTCTGGATCAAAATTTCTCTACAAAAATATTGAGGGAGTCATTATTATAAAAATATTACATATTCTTTATCTTATAAAATTTTAATATCAGGATACTTAAACAAATTTTCTCTATTATTAATCAATGAAAAATTTCATATCCTAATTATAGGACTATATGATTAAATAAGTAGTGGAGACAAAAGCAGTCCATCCGATCTCTAATTACATTTATTATTTATTGTGTGAGTGATTTTCCGATCACACTGCCCAACTCAGTATTCAACTGGAGAACACTCGTAGAATAGATGACACCTGGCTAACCTGCAACAGAAAGAGAAGATTCCGGCGGTGGTTCGTCTACTCGGGGGCACTCCGGCGATCAAGTCAGTATATCTCTCAAAGATAATCAATAGTGCAAATCTCACTGTTCAGAATATAAAATTGCGTACCTTAGACCTACGGGGGTGCCTCTCTTTTATAGCTAACTCAATCCTTATTTCAATAGGAGCCTAGCTCTAATGGACTTAGGATTACTATTAATCTTGGACTCCCAGTAGGATTGGGATAAACTCCCTAAGAGTCTTATCCTTTCCCAACTATAGTCTTCCCCATTTCTAGGATTGTTGTGCCTTATCCGCTTATCTCGGATTCCGATATCTTCAGAGGTAATCTCGGCCTCGCTGAGATAACCTCGGCGTCATGAGCAGGATACGTGGCACCTCGGCTGACACGTCGGCGTCACCTTAGCCGCGTGTTTGGTACTCAGAAAATATATCCCCACAACTGCCCCCTAAGTTCTATTACCTCGGCATTTTGAGGTGATGGAACCTATATCATTCCTTCCTGCCAGTACATCGGCCTAGCCGAGATCATCATCACAGGCCGATATGTCTTTTTCAGAGATCAAGAATTCCAAAAGCTTCTTCACGTGTATGAACTGTTATGCATAACAACTCAATCGTTTAGCCACGTGTTTTCTCCTTACTGAATTGTACTCTAGATGCGCTTATAAGTCGTTTCGCGCCTACATGCGCCGTCTGACGCATTTGCTGTTTCAGGCGCATTAATTGCCCTCTTTTGCCATTGTTTCAAGTTTTTGACAAAACTTGTTTCCCCCTTTCGTTTTTTTTTTTCACTTTACATTGTCTTCATTCAGAACTTTTCTCTCTCTAGCTTCCTCTACTCCTCCATTTTTTCAAGCTCTGAAGCTCTGCCATCGCCACCGCTCACCTCTTTCGGCGTGGTTCTTGCCAATCTATTCTACCGCCGCCGTTCTTCTGACTTTGGCGATCTCAAGCATCGGCTTCTTTTCTCTGGTAAGTCACCATTCCTCCTGGTTTTCAGTTCTTGTCGTGTTCCATGAAATTTTGCTTCATCATTAGTTGTCATTGCTGTTTTATTCGAATATTTGATTCGCGAATCATGTATCTGAGCATGTTTATTTCATAATTTTGCTCTTTGTCCATGTCTTGAATACTTGCATTGTTCACATACTTATTGGTTTCTGCCATTGTTCTTGGCCTGATACACTTGTGCAAACTTTTTGTCTTGATTTCTTGATGTCGTCATCACCATTCTTGTTTCTGAAACGAATCCTTGTTTTTCTGTTTTCCAGATTTGTTCCTTCAATCCTCATCTCCATAGCTTTAGGTTTGGGACTTGTTTGTAGAACCCACAATTTCTAGGAAAAACTGAAA